GGCAATGAGCTCAGTCCTGGCCAGGCAACAGGGAAGGGTGGGAAAATTTATTTATACAGGCCTGATGAAGCTTGTCTAGCAGAGCACTTTCTCTGTAGGCTTCTCTTTGTCCTCCTGTGGCATCTGCCACCTCCTTCAAGCTTCTTCTCCAACCCTCACATCTGCCTTTTCTTTAGAGCAGTCTTTATGCTTAGCGAGTGCTGAGTTTGCAGGCACTCATTGCCATATTTACAAGGAAGCTGGTGTTTTCCCTTCACCCCACCAAGTTATTATGAAAGCACATTTTTTTTTACTAAGCAATGTGCTGTTTTGCTTTGGATGGTAACAGACACAGAACAAAGGCTATAGATTATAAAGCATATCTGGCAAAAATATAGTCATTTCAAACAGGCTGTAACAGTAATTTATGTTCTGTCCATCTTCATTAAACTATATCATCCAACTGTTAGGTCAATGAATATGGATAGTATTCAGCACATCAAGGCATCAACCTCAACAGCATGAACAGACGAAGGCAACTGACACTTGTGTTGGCTTCCAAATAACATTCACAATAATCTCAAGAGCTTTTGTTTATCAGCGTCTTGAGAGCACTTTCTTCACATTGGAAAAGAGTCACGTAGGAAAGGATTTTTATGAAGTTCTGAAATGAACACTTCAAAGCATGAACCCTTTAGGTTCATGGTTGCAATGACAGATGTGGGATTTTTTTTCCCCCTAGTGACTATATACTTAAATGCATATTTGACTTTATGTTGACGACCTCCTGGGTGCATTTATACAAAGGCCAAATTGAAGTCAACCACTTATTTGGAGACTGCCTGCTGTTCTGTGCAGGAAGAAAACAATAATTTGCTCAGTATTGTAAAAGAAACTTCAATTGTGGGGGAATGATTAGTCTTAGCCAGATATATAATTGAATTAAATGAGAAAAAAATGTATTATCTCTGCTACTATCCTTATGTGTGCATATTCCCCAAAAGGAATTTGTACAAACCTAGTGTTAAAAAATATACTTAACTTGTAGTTAAGTATATTGGGGCTATCAAGCCATTGCATTCAACCATAATATGATGTACTCTTCTGGACATGATATGTTACTTGAACATAACAATTGTGATTAATTAGGATGTTGTGTATTACATGAAGCTAGTTCCTCTGTGCCTAGGCTATCATTATCCATAGAGGAATACTTGCCTTATTTTTAATAGCAGCTGCATCCCCATTGATCAAAGGATAGAACCTTGAAGCTGATCTTCTGACATGAAACTGACATTTATTAGCCTCATGTTAGACATTCCTGTGATCTAGTAGCTTTCAGTTGCCTGTTTTGGATTTGAAGAGAATCTAATTATATGACTGTGTAATGACAAAGACTTAGCTTGTCTGCATAGGAAAAATAAAGTTCAGAATTTGGAATTTAGAATCCTCTTGTATATAGAATAGAATAGAATAGAATAGAATAGAATAGAATAGAATAGAATAACAGAGTTGGAAGGGACCTTGGAGGTCTTCTAGTCCAGCCCCCTGCTCAGGGAGGAAACCCTGTACCATTTCAGACAAATGGTTGTCCAATCTCTTCTTAAAAACTTTCAGTGTTGGAGCATTCACAACTTCTGGAGGCAGGTTGTTCCACTGATTAATTGTTCGGACTGTCAGGAACATATCCTTGAAGCTGAAAAAGAAAAAAAGGGCGCTCTTTGAGAATTTGGGATACAGCCTCAGATGTTCCCACTGAATTGTACACATTGAAGTTGCAATGGGTCAAATTATTAGATACAAGGGAATAATAAGCTTGCCTGCATTTAAGTTGCAAACTTAATAAATAAATAAATAAATGGCAAATCACAAATAAAATAAGATCTCATTTTGGTCCTGTTCTGCCCATCTTATCCTCCTTTTTGGCATGTTGCATTTCAGTGCGTAAATCAAAGTCAAGGGCACTTTTCAAGCCACAAAGCATTGCCCATCCCTGCTTTCAACATCAAATAAGAGTAGCAGTGCAAGATAATAGGCAAAAGTCATTTGATCTGCTTTTGAAAGCGAACTGGCCTAATTTTGACTGAATATATGAATTGAGTTAACTCTCTAAGAAAGAGGACAGTTTTCTGGCAGACATCAAGCTTGGAATTCCCAAATGGACATCTTCTAGTTGAATCCAATGTGTCTGTGGTCGTTAGCTGTAACCCTGGGTCAAATTTTGTTCTTTTCCATTCATGAAATCCTTTCACTCCCTGTAAAAGAGCTCTTTTATTCCTGATTTGTTTTTCCCCACAAGGAGTGAAAGGAATGTTTAATTTTGAAAGAGATGACCAGGGGGATTCTGTTTGGTTTGTCTTTCTTCTCATTTGTTTCATGTTCTTGCTTCCTCTAGAAAGTTGCCCTTTGCCTTCCTATGGTTAAATTTGCTCTCCAGTAAGAAGGAGGAGAATATGGTATTACCATATATGTGCACAGGGGTCTTTTTAAAATGAACCAAAGAAAACAAAAGACTAAAAGATGCCTTAGGGCCGTTTCCATCGGATGTAATAAAGTCATGCAACCTTTTATTTCTCCTGCCCTCTCCTTGTTGAGCCTGTCTAAATAAGTGCTTAGTTCTTTGCATTTCTTTTGGTCTCCTGTTGATTTTGTCCCTTCCTTGTTTAAATGGGGGGGAAAAATAACAAAAAAATAGTGGGCACGTTGGCTATTATAACCTGCTGAAGGGAGTGGATTTTACAGTTCGGTCCTCTACGGTTTTAAATGATTTCTTGCTATCCTATCTGTGTTGGGCAAGAATAAACAGGTTTTCTTGCTTGTGCTTGTTGTTTTGGTACCTTTGGGTCAACTTGAACTCCTGGTGATTGCCTGAACAAGACCCTGCAGTTTTCTTGGCAAAGTTTTTTTGGAAGTCATTTGCCCTTGTCTTCTTCTTAGGGCTGAAGAGAGAATGACTGGCCTAAGGTCACCCAGCTGTCTTTGTGCCTCCTGTGGGTCTAGAATTCAGTCTTCCTGGTTTCTAATTTGATGCCTTCACCACTATACCACTACTCTTTTTAGCCTGAGATGTGCTCTTATATTTGACAACAATCTAATATTTCATCTCTGAATCTTTTTAGTTTCATGGCTCTGCTACTCAAATGCATGGGAATGAGACCTATGAGCCAATTTAGACTTTGCTTTTAGCCTGTCGCTTATACTTGTACATGTTTCCTGTCTTGCATTTTTACATTTGCTCCTGCTGATATGTATGATCAACACCTATTTTATTAATGTGGCTGGTCCTTCCTTCCTTCCTTCCTTCCTTCCTTCCTTCCTTCCTTCCTTCCCTCCTTCCTTTCTCCCTCCCTCCCTCCCTCCCTTATTTTCTTTCTTTCTTTCTTTCTTTCTTTCTTTCTTTCTCTTTCTTTCTTTCTTTCTTTCTTTCTTTCTTTCTTTCTTTCTTTCTTTCTTTCTTTCTTTCTTTCTTTCTTTCTTTCTTTCTTTCTTTCTTTCTTTCTTTCTTTCTTGTAAATTATTTGTAAACTTGTAAATGTTTTAAATAGAAATCTACCAGTGCAGGTTACTGCATTAAAATTTGGATGATATTGCCTACCCTAATTTTTAATAGGGCTGTTTGGCTCTCAAGCCTTAATTGATTTACTAGCTCTGCATTGAGAGTGAAAAATGTAAGCCTGGGGTGAATTTCCTTTTAAAGGGCAGAACTGTAGGAGAATTAGCCATCTGTCTTCTTTTTTTTTTAATCAAGCAGCACTGAAGAACTAAACAATTCCTGTTATATAAACCCAGATTCAACAGTTATGTCTGTCTGAAGAAAAAAAAAACCAATGAAAACACAACAAATAAAAGCTGAACATTTGTATCATTTATGCTTCTTCACATGTTTCCACATATTTTTATATAACATTTGCAAAGTTACTTTTTTATGTATTTTTAAAAACAAATGCAAACATAAAGGTCTTATGCACAATAAAGAGCTGTGGTGGTGCAGTAGTTAGAGTGCAGTATTGCAAGCTAACTCTGCCCACAGCTAGAAGTTCGATCCTGGCGGGGCTCAAGGTTGACTCAGCCTTCCATCCTCCTGAGGCCAGTAAAATGAGGACTCAGATTGTTGGGGGCAATATGCTGACTTTGTAAACAACTTAGAGAGGGCTGTAAAGCTCTATGAAGCGGTATATAAGTCTAAGAAGTGCTATTGCTATTGCTACTTGGGCATAATGATAAACTATATTATGAGGGAAATAAGTATTAGATTCCTCTCTAATTCTCAGGTTTCCCTCTGCTTCAGAAAAACTATCAGGATAGGTTGCATTTCATTTAATCAACCTCTAAAGTCACCTGGACTGTGATTAATTTTAGATTTGTTTTGTTCAAAACAAGTCAGATTAATAAATCACAATTTAATCTGGTGTAACCACAGTGTGACGTTGAGCTGGTTGTTTTTAGGTTAAACATCCTTAATTCAGTCAGCAAGGCAACCTACAGTTAGACTACATTATAACTGACCCTTTTTGTATGATTATGGCTATATAGTTTGTTTCATTGCTTGAGTGTAATCTTTGATCATTTGTTGACAACTGCTCCAGGTTTGAGGTGGTATCAGCTATTGACTCTATAGGTGGATTCTAGAGTAAAATGATTGGAAAGGCTGAGTCCAAGAGATAAGTTTAAGAACTTGCTTCTTGTCAAGGATCTTGAGGAGTGAAATTGTGACCTTTTCTCTAATGGAATCAGGAATATCATTTCTTTTGTAGTATTGAGAGAAGAAAACTGGCAAAATATTGGTAAAGGACTATGCAGTTAAAATTTCATTTTATCCCACTACCAGCAGGCATAGTCAATTGGGAAATAAACAAGATTGAAGATTGCAAAATTTCACGTCCAATGTATCTGGAGGGTGCCAGGAGGGAAAGGGTTAGTTAATACTTAATAGTATGTCATAAATCTCTTTGTACATTAACTTTTTTCCCGCTTGCTGTTCTCTGTCCATCCACCCACCCTGTTTCTTATTTGGTGATTAGATCTATGCCCATCTGAAGGAAAGCAGTGGGACTGAAGGTCTGGATGCTTTGAAGAACAAAGCCCAGCTTCACAGCATAGTGGCCAAGAGTCTTTGTCAGAATGTCACGGGGAAAAACTGTATCATCTTCACTGGCCCCAGCATTACCAGCCTGAACCTCTTTGAAGAATTTGAAAAACAAGGTTAGTGCCAGGCAATGCATGGATCTTAGAACAGTCCTTTGTGGGGCCTTTATTCTGTGAAACCTGAAGCCATCATGACGGATACTCTTATTATATTGCTAGATATAAATATGGCTCTCCCAATGCAACATTGGTTTTGGAAGGTTTTCTTTGTTATTATCAGAAATTGGAGATTATTCATGTTGATTGGCGATTATTCTCATTGTTGAGTTTTGGGGTTGGGGAGAATAGCAGAATCATGAATGATATAGCATTTCTGGACCAATGAAATCAATGGAAGATGGTTTGTGCGTGGTCCTATGTTTGGTCTTCTGCTAGCCTTTGCGCTGTATAATCTCTAGGAATCCTTCTTTCAGTCTTTCAGCTTGTGTTGAAAGTTGATCTTTCAACTTTTTTATGTTTAAATTTCATTTTAAAGCAAATGGTCGGCTTTTCTCTTTTGACTGGCTGCAAGAATGACATGGAAAATGAAGTCTCATTGGACATACAAAAAAAGTAGTTGAGGCTTTTAAAATAAAAAAAAAATTACAGATAGTAAACCAAAAGACTGATCTGGATGAATCCTCTGAGAAGGGAGAAAAAAGAATCAACATCAACTTTTATGATATTATTTGAATGGACTAATAATTAAGATTGTTAAATGTAAAAGAAATGAACATAAAGTTGGTTTATTTAATCAAGATTAAAGTAGATATGTTATTATTTCTGGAAAACCTTAATGGACTTTTGCTGACACCAAGACTGATGATACTTTAGAAATTTATTGATAGATAGAGATCATTGGTTGTAAATTAAAAGGAAGCGATAGTTATTAAAATTATAAATACATATTACAATAAAGGTTGGAGGTCTCACACACACACATGCACACAAACATATTTTTCTTTGTTTACTATGTACTTAACTTTCTTTGCTCTACAGTGTTTTCATTTCCTTTGCAATTTTTACTCTTTCTACTTTTCTTTTTCAGTTTGTATTAGTTTTGCTAGTGCAATTATAATCTTTAATAAAATTATTTTTAAAAAAGTTTAAATGGGTATTTGTAACTAATATTTGGATTATGAACCTCTTTCTCTCCCCCCTCCTTCCCTCTCTCTCGCACTCTCACACATAACACACATATACCAGACATGTACACCTGTTCAGACCAATTTTATGCTTGCCATTCAAAAGAAGTCAATTTCCCCTGGCATCAAC